TTATCATGGATTCAGGTATGTTGTATGTTTATGTTCATTTTCAGATTTCAATATGGAAATGGAGCTAGGGTTTTATGTGAAAAGGATTTGAATAATGTATGTAATTTGATTATTCCTTTTCAATTTTCTATCATTATGCTTCACAACTTCTTCAAATAATTATGTCTGCTGACTTGCTATTATGCATGACAAGCTGTTGAGTGAGTAAAAGAGAGTTTCAGTGTTATTTTTATTCTTGCTTGTTGATAGACATGATTTGACTATGATCATCTAGCTCACCCGTGTCACGAAAATGTTGTTTGTTTTAAATATCCGAATTAACTTAACATTAACCGAAACAATTGAAATTTGTGATTTTTCCTATAAGGTAAATAATCTACTTAATAATGTAAGACCTGATTTGCGATTATAATAAATGCAAGTTTTACAAAATTTGATAATTAAAAACATACTAGAATCTCGAATTCCCTTATATTAATTCCGTTTAATTTTGAACATTATGAATTTGACAACACAATTCAGAGCTTGTTTGGGAGGGATTAAAATCAGATTAAAATTGAAAATATAGCCGTTGTAGTTGATTTTTATTAGACGTGTGGGAATCAATAACAACTATATTTTCAATTTTAATTGGATTTTAATCCTTCCCAAACAAGCTATCAATTATAAAGACCAATATTCCCAATTTGTTTAACAATCCATGTCAAGTAGAATTAAACATATTATTACATGTGACCCGGCTATATTTTTATGACGGAAGCAAACAGAACAAAATGTATTAAAGTTTTATAAATACTTGAAGATCACATAAAACGTAGCATTATATTTATATCCCCCGTTGGACTCTACGACATTATTTACTACTTATTTTCACTCTTTAGAAGGTAAAATAAGTTATAAAACTCATACAACTATTGCTCATACAATTATTGAGAAAAATAAATCTATGTCAATCATTCAATAATTGAAAACGTGCTTTAAATGTCAAAAATAAATAAAATCAAGAGTTAAAAGTTCATCATATAAGGTTCATCGAAAATCTTAGCATAAAAATAATCTGGTCTAACATAATATCGAAATTAAACAAATAAAAGTGAAAAGACATCACCAAAAAATTGACGGACCGTGAATAATTTTCAAATTTTCGCACAATGATCGATCGAATTTTTTGGACAAGAATTCTGTAATTATTTTCCTCTCTAGTTGCTGCGTGTGCCGTCTTTCTTCTCTCTTTCAATTCTGGCCGTCTGTGTCTATATTTATTATTTTCCTCCAACAGCCGCCCAATGTTTTCTTTGTTCTCAGTATGCGTGTAAATATATATGGAAAGAGTTTACAAATCAGGTATTAACTTTGACGATTACAAAAATGAGTTGTTAAGTTTCAAACTTGCAAAGCTCAGGTATTTACTAATTAATTAAATATTTAATTGTAATATAATATACCCCACCCCACCCCACCTCCACCTCCACTGCTCCGACAACTATTTCGATGGCCGACGACTACTTCGGCGATTGTCCCCTACTGAGCTTAATTCCGACGACTATACCGGTGACCGTTCTGCCGTTGCTTAATTTCGGCGATTGCTCCGCTTCCAACAATTGTTAATGTCACAATTATATGCAATTTGATCACAGATATCTAATTAATTAGTTAAAAATTAATTTTAAGTCACAGATTTTCAAATTAGTTGGTCACAGATTTTATAATGGTCACGTGTAAAAAAAATTGTAGGTCACAATTAATTCGTCGGTCACAGATTTCAAAATTTATAGGTCACACAGCCACAAATTTTCAAATTAGTTGGTCAAATATTTTTTACGATTACAGATTATATAATTGTAGGTCACAGATAATTAAATGGTTGGTCACAAATTAACCAACACCCCACTTCCACCTCCGATCATGATCCAACACCGTGACTAAGCCAACCATCGCCTCCATCACCATCAGATCCAACATACCCTATCAGATTTGCCACCACTACACCACAACCCTACCACCAACAAAGCCGTCACCACTAAATCCAACACCACTACCAACCACCATCACAAAATCACCACCACTGACAACAAAGAAGTTAAAATATTTTGGAGAGAGAAAT